TCAAACCACCTTCTGATGACATGGAGGTTGAGTTAGGTTTAGAATGATCCAAGCAAATTTCTGTTGAGTGGGTTTGTTGGCAAAGAGTTGCATGTTTGAGTTAAGGAGGTTCCCTGGTTTCAGGCTTGGGCCAATTAGCATTCCCATCTCCTGGCGGCCTGTGAGAAGCCCCCTGTGCGTGCTTGTGGTCGGGTAGAACTTGATTGTGAGCTGCACATCACTGTTACCACTGCTTTGTACCATGTGTTTGGATGATGCTGTGCCCAATCCCAGCACCCACAGAGCCCCCTCTTTTAGCTGGGAAATTGAATTGTGTTGGAATGCTCTGTGCCTCTTTTCTCTTGTACTTGAATGGGGCCCTTTAGTATTTCACACCAAGGTGTCCTTCAGGGTGTGAGGTCAGGCTACCAAAACAGTTTCTAGTGGCGGATTAGGACCAATTAACATCTTTGTACACAAAGGGCTCTGGCAGCTGAACAGGCCGGAGGGTGACCCACACTGCCGTTGCATGCCAAGCCAGGGGACCGCTGCACTTGAGCTCAAGTAGCAAAAGAGGGGTGGAGAAAGTTTTTCGAAACTAATGGAAAATGTTGCTACATCACATTATATGAATGTGTAGCGCATTGATTAATCATGATGTTGTGTAATGAGTGGGTACTATTTTTTTTGTAAAAAATTTAGCAGTGTGCAACTGTCTCAGAGGACGTCTCTGAATTGTTTTTCATTATTAGGGAAGTTCTGGTGGGCCTAGTCTAAACCATAATTGAAATGTGTCAGTGCAATGCACCACAACCTTGAATTTGCTTTGTTGGAAGGACTTTTTGTGTTCTAAGAGGGTACCATCCACCAGATGCAACTAGTGTCATTTTTTCACACAATAAATGCGACGATAACGTTTGCAAATAGGCTTATCTTGAAATTGGGCTTATGTTCCCATTTCTGTTTTCAAATATTTTCCATTACAGCTTTTTGGACTTCTAAGATCATAAAAGGTTGATGTACAATTATACATCCACAGTTTTCTTACATCAATTATTATAACCCTTCAGTAAGTAGCCATATGTATATCCTTTGAGCCATATATGGATAATTTGTAGGGTAAGTGTAGCTATTAAGTCCATAACAGGTCTAACACGACCAACCAACATACATTCTGCAATTTGTCTCAGGTGAAAGGGGCAACGCATACATTTACCTGCTTTTTAAAGGGGGCATTTGGATACAAGATTTGTCTGAGGTGAATGCATAATCATGTCAATCATGAGGCTAATCTTTTATTTAATTCCGCCATGACTGTTGAGCTTGTGAGCCAATAGGAGAGAAGGGCGTGCTGATGACTAGGAGTATATGACACATTTTTGATGGTCTGCACTACTCATTGTTGTTGGGATATTTACGGTGCTTCTGCATATTTCTGCATCTATGGTTTTGTATTTTTAGTTTTGGGAACAATTTCAAGTGGAAACGTGAGGGTTTTAGGCTATGAAGGAGAAGTCCTCAGAGATTAGGTTTAATTTTTCCAGATTTTAGATGCGAGGTTAATTTAAATGTTTAAATACAAGGTTTCTAGTCTGACAAAACGTCATCAAAGTGGCCCCTAACCTAAATAAGGAAATTATAATCAAAGATGGGCCTATATTTTTTTTTATCGACAGGCTAGTTATAACCAAAACTCAAATGCTAGGCTATATTATGGTGTGGCATAGTTCATAATTTAATATATCAGGAGTCAAGATAGCATCAAGACTAGCCTACATCATGATTATCACCACTGCATGCTTATTTTTCATTCATATAGGCCTACTTGCATGTTGTGCCAAGTTATGAATCAAAGTTATGAAATAGAGCTAACCAGGATTCATAGCTAATTAGGAGATCATTTCAATAAAACAGTTTTGAGACTGAGGGGATCGTGGTCTCGCACTGCGACTTAGCAATGTTAATTAATGCTAGACTACTCATTAGCCTACATTCAAGGCCTGTGCCGTAGGGTAGAGGGAGGCAAAACAGGGAATTAATCAGTGACTTTGTAATTGCCTTTTCACCGGTAGGCTCTATGTTTCTATCAGGATCAGATGAGATGAGGTGCTGCATAATTGCAGTGTAGATTTTGGAATCTTAAATAGTCTCTTTTCGCCTCTACAAATGTATTTTTACTCCCGGTGCAGGGAGTTGATAGACAGAGTCGCCCGAGCATAGGCAGTTTATTTGGAGAAGGAAGGGGAAACTAGTGCCCCTCTGTTGTGGTGGTCCTTTTATCACACTTGAGCGCTCCCTTTGTCTCACACTCTCTCATTCTCTTCCCCATCTCTCTCTTACAGCCTGTCTGGGTAATAGGGGTTGAAATGCAGGTGTGTGTGGGAAATGGCTATAGCGCTATAGTGCATTGACAGGTTATTTGTTGGCCGCTGCCTAATTAGTGGCATAGTGGATGCACCCCGCCAGGCTTTAGCGGTCTGTGTTAGAACCAGTCTGCTCTAATTCCCTTGCAGCTTTGATATTGGCCAAGAGATTGACGGTTCACACAAAAAAAGAAACACAAGGGCATGATGGAAGACCTGGTGAAAACAATGCCCCCGTACGCCTCTTCACTTCGCCTCCCCGTGCTATAGATGTGCGAGGAGAAGCAGACGGGAGGCCCCCGGTTTTTGCAGACACTGCAAAATTGGCTCCAATGTCAGCAGAGCTAATGTTTTCCCAAAGAAAGTAAGAGGACAAAGTTTTGGACCACACCTATGCTCTTCTGTTTGTCCATACTTGGGCCTTTAAAGGGGGGCTGACCTTCCTGATTTGGCCTAGTTTTTCGGCTTGGTCATTAAGAAATGCAGCGGCCATGACTGAAGCCAAACGAGTTGTCTTGGGGCGGTGGTTTAATGTGAGTGTCTCTTGTGTGTGTTCGCACGTTGCAAACGTTTGTACATTCACTCTGCCAAAACAGTACACAGTAAGTCCCTCACTCTTCTAGATAACTTGAAACAGTCTAACCAGGTCTTGTCTTGAAGTCTCCTAGGCCAGCTAGTGCTAGCCAATTTATTTCGCAAATTAGCATCAGCTGGCTGGTGTGCAACCGTGACAAAGTTGGTTTGACATTGGATAGCCTATCTCTGGGGCTAGTAATGGACCGTCAATAAATTCCACAATGTAAATGGGACATTATTTTCATGTTGCACACCCTTTTAGTTGTTATAGTCAATGAAATTTGGAGCAATTGACATTTTAAAATATTGTCCCATGTAATTTACTGATGGTCCCTAACTAGCCCCATAGGGATATCAAATGTCAAAGCAAATTGCCCATGGGAATTACAATTGGGTCGCACCCAATTTATGATTACTTGGGGGCTGTGGGCATGTGGGCAGGATTTAAATAAACCCAACCCAAGGACAACTGTTACGGCACATGAGTGTTTCAGCATGATATAGATCAAGTTTAATGGGGTAGGTGGGTTGGGGAGGGGTTTTGGGGGGAGGGTGTGGTATAAATTAGTAGGGATTTATTTGCTTTTTATTTTATTTTCGTGGTAGTACAGAATTGGGCAGATCATGATTGATCGTACATTCCAGCACAGTAGGTGGCGGCATGCACTTAAACGGTTGTTTGCGGACCACCATGATATCATAGAAGAAGTAGAAAACTGTTACGGTACCCTTCATTCCGTGACACTTTTTTTCTAGCATCTCGCAAATCTCTGTGTTGGATAAGATTAACTTTATGACAAATTATCCTATTTACACTTTGTAGTCAATTTTGACACTAGAATAAATGTTTCTGACTCGTATTGATGCACTTAGGCTGTTTTCAAAATGATAAGTTGCTTTTTAGGGGCAGTCATTATTTTAATGATAGCCTCCTGGCCCGCCTCCACCTATTCATCCACCTGCATATTTCCCATGACAGTGACTGCTTGGGCTCCTTAATACCCAGTGTGGTGAGTTTGGTTAGTTAAAAGTTCTAGTTCAGATGAAAAGATTCACCAAAACGTTTTCTTTTTAATTATTGGGCATGATCGCCTAGTTTGCCCTGCCTTGGTTGGCCAATTGATGGTTTTGATGGGGAGAGCCGGTGTTTGTGTTTTGGAAGCAGGAAATAAACAAAAGAGAACCAAAGCGGCCCACCCATGCTATAGTAGAAAGTTTGGTATCTACCATACCATGTGTGTTTGGGAGGGCTTTGAGCGCTGGTGTGGTGTTGGGCTCCTGGCCCGCCCTTAGGGGAGGGATGTGGCCCTTCAGGCGGTTAGTGTTCTAATATGTGTATTTTCAAAGGGGTTAGGGTCCCGGAACCAAGTGAACACAAAAGAGGGCTGAATTCTCCTTGATCCATCTAAAACGGATGTTATGGAGATGGGTGAAAGTAATTTTAAGAAATGAGTAATTAGGCTAATCATTAATTGTTTTATTGCTTAGACAAAATAGATGGTGGGAGCCAAAAAACCTAACAAACTAGCCAAATCAGAGACACTGGGGTGAATCTGTGAGTACAGGGAATTAATGATGGATTGTGCTTAGGCAGGCCTAACTTATAGTTCTACAAAATTCTAAGTAATTAAGTAACGTTCACCTCTACATGTCTGGCCTATTGTTTAATAAATTGTAGACTTTGGCCTATGTAAATTCTATTTTATCCCATATGTTCAAAGCGCATCTCATGTTTTCCTTGATATTTGCCTGGTCTTAACATTTGACCATGAAATGCATGAAAGCCATTTAAACGCCTTTACAAAAGGTAACTTTGTAATTACTAACATAAGTGTCTTTAAGAAAGACTACTTAATTTATTACTATATGATTGTTGGCTTTCATGCAAAAACACCATGCACCTTTCTTGACCTCAGTCACTGTTGCTTTTAACATTTTAGTTAAAAGGTGATGCAACTCTTGTCTAACATTAAGCCCACTCTTGGGACTGTCAGATATGTTTTTTCCCCTATACTGAAGGTCATTCATTTTGCATATATGATGCAATTTAAAAAAAAACTGTTATTGTTCTCTATTTCAGCATATTCTACTGTGTCTGGAGTGAATGGCCCCCTGGTGATTCTGGATAATGTGAAGGTGACTAAAGATTTAAAATGACTTCTCTATTAGGGCTCAGACGCACCAATAGCATTTCCTGACCAAGAGTACTTAGCACCTCGATCAGCAGACAAACGCTAGATCCACGTTCGGTGCGATGTGTGCAAGCCTTTAATCTCTCGTGGACAGACGCACGTAACATAAATGGTATCGTAGCTTCTGTCAACAGACTGGGATGCGATGACTAACAAGGAACTTTTTTCCGGTATGCAGATTTTTCATCACTGATCATTTAGAACAAATCACGATTTCTCGATGCTTGCATCATTTGAATTTAGAAAGGGGAGGGAACATTTGGCCCATAGACTTGCCTGAAACTTGCAGAGAGTTTCCGTTAAGGGGGGTGGAGACTTTGCAAATCGCGTTTGTATCTTTCCCTTAACATCTCCCATCATCCCCAGAACTTAAAAGAGCATGTGACGCAATTATGCGAGATTTTTGTTCTGTGTTTCTGAGCTTACTTCTCTTTAATCAGTTGTGTTCTGGCTTGCTTAGTGAAATTGATAGTGTTATTTTCTGCAGGGTTAGCCTAATTGCTGGTCATGTATGTTTTCTGTTTTGAAAGACTGAAAGAAACATGCTTGTTAAATGGAGTTTTCCGACCTTTTTATGTGGCAGTTTCCCAGGTATGCCGAGATTGTGCACCTGACTTTACCTGATGGCACCAGGAGGAGTGGCCAGGTGTTGGAGGTGATTGGCACCAAGGCTGTCGTACAGGTGAGTACCTCGCCACACACACACACACACACAGACACAGACACAAACCACAAATGACTGAAAGATACTGTTTAATGTCATTTTCAGGTGTTTGAGGGGACATCTGGTATTGATGCCAAGAAGACGGCCTGTGAGTTCACTGGTGACATCCTGCGCACACCTGTGTCTGAGGACATGCTGGGTAAGATGAGCTTTCCAAAACAAGCTGAGTGGCATCCGGCGGGCGCTAGGCAGGAGGAAGCATGAAATCTACCACTGATTAAGACTAAATTAGGCTGCTCTCTAGAGCTCTTCTACATCTGTTTTCATCACTCTGTATAACTGTTTCCGCCCACCCTCCTTCTCACACAAAGAAGAAAATACCATGCAAGCTTTACTCTCTTAGTGTGCTAAATACAATTGTTCTGCTCCATTTTACCTCGTCCCTGTTAATGCCTCTATTTGAGTCCTGCATTGAGTCTTCTCCGTGAGCAAATTAGGGCAACAAAGCATTGAAGAGAATCTTTGAGGCTTGTATGACTTGTTATTTATATCCCAGTCATACCACCTCAGTGGGACTCAAGGTTAGGTGTATTTGATAGTTGAGTGAACCATCTGTTGCAAGGATCATTAATAATGGGCCTAAATGAATTGAAAATATAAAATGCAGCATCTCTACCATTGTCTGAAACCTCAAGTAACTGCTCATATTTTTTAACGAATCAGAGATAGAGATAATTATGTGGATAGCGATCCATGTAATATGAAATTAAACTAATAGAGAATGTCTTTCATTTCAGGACGTGTTTTCAACGGCTCAGGCAAGCCCATTGACCGTGGCCCCACTGTGCTGGCTGAGGACTACCTGGACATCATGGGTAGGACGGAGCTATAATTCCGTTCATTCAGGAAGTGAAAGATATTCCTAGATAACATTGTCTGTGTTGAAATGCAATTGACCCTGATGTGCAAAAATAGAAACATGGTACCTCGACTATATTCTTAGTATACTGAGCTTACAGCGGATCAACCCCATCTTTACTCTGCTAGTGGACTTCGATGTGAAGCTATACATTAGCTTGTATAGTGTGAGTTCAGTCTTTAGTTGCATCTCACTGCCACAAGGCCAAACACTGTCTTTATGTTGACTGTTGATCCCATCCCTGAGTCCCTGTCACATGTAGCATGCCATTGTGTAGGCATGGCATCCCAATGAATAGATGACTTGAGCGTCATAAGTCTTCCATCTTGAAGGGCAATAAGGTCTTTGACCCTGACCTCCGGTCTGACCTTTCGTTCCATCTCGGCACCCGAACATCTCCCACAAGTGTACTAATTTCATTTCATTTTATTTTCTAAACCTTCGTTTATGTTTATGTTTACGTATGTGTGCAACTGCACATACAGTGTAAAAAGCTGAATTGAAACTATTATAAGGCCATTTCTACTGTTTATATCCCTAATATGAGTTCTACCTGGGCAATACCTTGGTTGGAAGTGGCTAACCCTCTGGTCTGTGTTTCTGTCCCAGGCCAGCCCATCAACCCTCAGTGCCGTATCTACCCTGAAGAGATGATTCAGACCGGTATCTCTGCAATCGATGGGATGAACAGCATCGCCCGAGGTCAGAAGATCCCCATTTTCTCTGCAGCCGGCCTGCCCCACAACGAGGTACGATGGAGACGCTAGGTCTGACAAGGCTAGGACACACAAACGCATACGCTATATGTGCCTTCGGCTGCATTTTGCCATATTATAGCCTCAGTCAATAGCATTGGAGATGGGTTTTCTATCATTACCAATGGACTAATGTGATCTGAAACATGAGGCAGTCCATTCTGTTAGACACCTCAGCGATATTTATTATCGCTGCCAGGTTGATTCTAATTTAGTGTTGTCTGTTTTGGTATGTTGTAATCTATTCTTCTGTGCTTAATTTATCTGCCAAACACCCTTGTGGTGTGTGTGTGTGTGTTACCAGCTAATTGAAATGATTTGTGCTAATAGGCGGAGGAGATTAAATTGTTTTGTTCCTGTGGTGCAGGAGCTAGCAGAACCAGCAAAGTGGGTCTGGAGGACATCTCAGATATCCACTGTGACATTTTACTGCTTGTGGAGGGCATTTTCTTATTTCTCAGAGAGCCTTGCCTCTCCCTGTCTCTCCATCTTCACACACAGCACTCCAGAAATTCACACATCTACTCATTTTACTCACTCCATATGTCTTGTAGTGGTTGTACAATCATGCACCTGTCACATTTGATAGTCTGTGTATCAGACACACTGTTAAACTAGATGCTTGTTCTCCATTTTATTTTAGGCTCATATATTAACAGCCTTTTTAGTCCAAATGGTTTGAACGCATTGCATTAAACCTACTAAAGAGGAACCTGAAGGTAGCGTATAGCATTATTGTACGGCACTACCTGAAAGCTATTGAATATGTCAAAAATGAGTAGTGTTAAGTTAACGCTATTAGTTGCCAACCTGCCTCTAAGCATGAGTCAGATCCATGTCTCTGTGTGTCAGTGTGTTAGTTATGGGCACATGGCAGCCGTCTGGACTTCACTTCCTGTCTCACCGCCTAAAAATAGAATGGACCAACCAAACCTCCAGCGTTCCACTGGTGCCGTGAAGTATTTAATTTTGATTTGGAGAACAGAGTTGAAACGATTTGCTTATAGCAGACAGTCATTTAAAATCAGATTCATTGGAAAAGTTAACTTATTGTGGAAAAGTGCCAGAGTTTACTTACTTGGAGTGAACTCAAGTGAAGAGGACATTCGGCAACTCTTGGAGGACAGAAGAAGTTGGTAAAAGGGCTTATTTATTGTTAAAAGTAAAACCAACGTGTTTTCATCAGGGTTTTATCTTTGACTGAACTTGGAATGGGATGACAAATAATCTCTCTGTCATTGCCAGCTTAACTGTTGTTCATCTGACTCAATCTTGGGATTTATGGCTCATCATAAGTGCAGGGGCAGTGTTAAGGAAGTCAGAATCATTCTCCATTCCAACATGTTCTTATTACAAGCCTCATTCTATGTTAGTTTTATCAGTCTCTACTACCTCTCCACTAATCGATGAGCACTTGAAATCTCAGGTAAAATATACAAAATATCAGTGCTAAAGGACTAACCCAAAAAGTCTGGATCACCAATCAATTGCACATTGACTTTGAAAACAAGGTTAGGAGTTTCAATAGTTCATGTATACAGTCTTAAACAAGTTTAAGACTATACTGCATAGTTTCATGAGTTCATATTGTCATATCAGACAGTGTCCGTGGTTTCCCATGACTGAAGGAATGCTCTTTTCTAAAGCCTTGGAGAAAGAACGTGATGGCCGCTGTGGTTGAACTGGTAAACGAATTAAACTAATAAGACAATGGTGGCGAGAGGAGATTAGGTGATTGTGTGAATAGCACTGATTTAATGTAGGATTGGTAGCCCAGCCATGAGGTCGTTAACGCTTGAGGTGGCTGTTCTCTCACCAGTCGTCACTGTTTGCAAACAGCCTCATTATGACCTTATGACCGTCACTGTACTAAAAACAGTGAACAGGGTACGCCTTGTCTGACTAATGATGCTGGTCGACTTCTCGTGTCACTGGAATGGTATAAAACTCTTCTCGTTTCATTAAACAGTTGTCATGGGGTCATTTGTGCCGCTGTTCTCTATGGGCCAGGTGTCTCAGCTCAGGGTGCACTGAGAGGTCAGCCCTGATTTAACAGGCAGCAACCGTTACATTAAGCGATAAGCGTGAAATTCCTCCCCTCTAGATTCCTAATCACAGAGTTGTTATCCAACTATGCACCTCAGACACAAGCATAGTTGGGAGCACGTGGATACACACAGAACACGCCAGTAACTAGCTAGCTGGACGGGGCGCTCGCTGATGTCCAAACATTTTAATAGACTGGTTGTTTTATCAACATAAATGTTTCAAGACCTCATCATTTTGAATCCTGTGTTTTGGTTTTCAGATTGCTGCCCAGATTTGTCGTCAGGCCGGTCCTGGTGAAGAAATCCAAGGATGTGATGGACTACAGCGATGATAACTTTGCCATCGTCTTTGCCGCCATGGGGGTGAGCTGAGCGGCACTAGATATACTTTAAAAAAAAATAAGGTCTGTTTTTTTCTCTAGTGTGTGTGGCTAATCCTTCCTCTTAACCCCACCGTGACACTTCCCCCTCTCCTTTTCTCACTCGCATTCACCAGGTGACTTAGCGTTTAAGTCCCCTGTTACGTCTGCTCCTCTGAGCAGATTCTGGCCACGTCGACAGGTTATTATTCAGCCGTCTTGAACACATTCAGCCGGCCAGTATCAAATTCTCTCTAGTTCAGCTGCTCTGCTCATCCCTATTTAACGCTGGGTGGGGAATCTTCTGTGACCTGTGGCAGAGATGTTAGTGACCCCCACCTCTGCTCCTCTGGCCCCCCTTATCCTCTCCCTGCTGATGGCTAATTCACACACCATTGAGGGCTTTGTAACATAAGCACTAACTTTGTAACAGGGTAGCGGAAATGCAATGCATAGGGACAGACGGGTATGAAAAGGGATGAGGACATTTTAAAGCATATGTAAAGGAGATTCCAATTTAGGAAAAGGACACTGTGTAAAGGACAGCGTATTAAGCCTCTTTAACATCTGATTAACACTTAACCCTGTTTTCACATATCAGAACATATTAAGTTACCTTGAGTTGAAACCTGCTGAACCAGTAAGCTGCAGCATAATTTGCACTACATTGCTCTCTGTATAGTTTTTAGGAAGAATTTACCCTAATTTGTTGTGATATTTGTACCAGGAGCTCCTTTTTCTGATATAGGCATGTTTTTGTTTTTCTTGCCCATGGGCGACTTAATATATTCCTGCTTTTGTTGAAGAATGTTCAAGGACTTCTACTATCTACTTGGTGTGTAATCTTGAACCTAACTGTTTTCTAACCTTCTATCGTTTCAGGTGAACATGGAAACTGCTCGCTTCTTCAAGTCAGACTTTGAGGAGAATGGATCCATGGACAATGTTTGCCTGTTCTTGAACCTAGCCAACGACCCCACGTGAGTTTATGTGCATAAGCTCAGTGCCAAATCAGTAATTTACTAGCTCCCTCCTATAATAAATAATTTTATGGTACATCTATGGAATCATGGATTCACTGCAATAAAGTGTCTGTATAATATTGCTGTATAAAGGCAAGACTGTCATTTTCACCTTTTCAACAGAGTATTGTCTATTCCTACCTTTTTTTATGTTAATGGTGGAAACATTTAATTCCTTCCTTGTTCTTTCCTTTCTCCAGTATTGAGCGCATTATCACGCCTCGCCTGGCTCTGACCTCAGCTGAGTACCTGGCCTACCAGTGTGAGAAGCATGTCCTGGTCATCCTGACTGACATGAGCTCCTACGCCGAAGCTCTGAGAGAGGTGGGCAACCAAACTAACTCAAGGAAGTCTACTGTTTACTCCTGGGAAAAAAATAACTCATACTTTATTTTTGTGAAGTGTCAGACTTGCACATTCATTCTGTCAACGTTTGAGAGACACAACTTTTCTTTTGAATATGGGTAGCAAATTCAATGTGCTGGTCAGTACACCCTACATGGTTGTGATATTGAAAACCTCCACAAATCAAATCAAATTGGTCGCATACACATATCTAGCAGAAGTTATTGCGGGTGTAGCGAAATGCTTATGTTCCTAGCTCCAACAGTTTAGTAATATTTCGGCAGCATTGAAGGTCCCCAAGAACACAGTGGCCTCAATCATTCTTAAATGGTAGAAGTTTGGAACCACCAAGACTCTTCCTAGAGCTGGCCGCCCGGCCAAATTGAGCAATCGGGGGAGAAGGGCCTTGGTCAATGAGGTGACCAAGAACCCCATGGTCACTGACCGAGCTCTAGAGTTCCTCTGTGGAGATGGGAGAACCTTCCAGAAGGAGATGGGAGACCCATCTTTGCTGCACTCCCACCAATCAGGCCTTTATGGCAGAGTTTTATTAAAGGCATCTAAGGGACTCTCTGATGAAACCAAGATTGAACTCTTTGGCCTGAATGCCAAGCGTCACGTCTGGCACCATCCTTACGGTGAAGCATGGTGGTGGGATGTTTTTCAACGGCAGTGACTGGGAGACTAGTCAGCATCAAGGGAAAGATGAACGGAGCAAAGTACAGAGAGATCCTTGATGAAAACCTGCTCCAGAGCGCTCAGGACCTCAGACAGGGGTGACGGTTCACATTCCAACAGGACAACGACCTTAAGCACACAGCCAAGACATTGCAGGAGTGGCTTCGGGACAAGTCTCTGAATGTCCTTGAGTGGCCCAGCCAGAGCCCGGACTTGAACCAGATCGAACATCTCTGGAGATGGATGTGCAGTGACACTCCCCATCCAACCTGACAGCTTGAGAGGATCTGCAGAGAAGAATGGGAGAAACTCCCCAAATACAGATGTGCCAAGCTTGTAGCGTCATACCCAAGATGACTCGATGCTGTAATTGCTGCCAAAAGGTGCTTCAACAAAGTACTAAGTAAAGGGTCTGAATACTTATGTAAATGTCATATTTAAGTTTTTTATTTTTAATGCATTTGCTAAAATGTCTAAACCTGTTTTGCTTTGTCATTATGGGGTATTGTGTGTAGATTGATGAGGGGGGAAAAAAAAATGTTTATCCAGAATTTTAGAATAAGGCGATAACGTAACAAAACGTCTCAAATAAGCAAAGAGAAACAACAGTCCATTACTTAAGACAATTTCAAGAACTTTGAACGTTTCTTCAAGTGCAGTCGCAAAATCCATCGCGCTATGATGAAACTGGCTCTCATGAGGACCGCCACAGGAATGGAAGACCCAGAGTTACCTCTGCTGCAGAGGATAAGTTCATTAGAGTTACCGGCCTCAGAAATTGCAGCCCAAATAAATGCTTCACGTTCAAGTAACCAACACATCTCAACATCAACTGTTCAGAGGAGACTGCGTGAATCAGGCCTTCATGGTCGAATTGCTGCAAAGAAACCACTACTAAAGGACACCAATAAGAAGAAGAGACTTGCTTGGGCCAAGAAACACGAGCAATGGACATTAGACCAGTGGACATCTGTCCTTTTGGTCTGATGAGTCCAAATTTGAGATTTTTGGTTCCAACCGCCGTGTCTTTGTGAAACGCAGAGTAGGTGAATGCATGATCTCCGCATGTGTGGTTCCCACCGTGAAGCATGGAGGAGGTGTGATGGTGTGGGGTGCTTTGCTTGTGACACTGTCAGAGATGTATTTAGAATTCAAGGCTGTAATGTAACAAAATGTGGAAAAAGTCAAGGGGTCTGAATACTTTCTGAAGGCACTGTAAATGTATGTTATGTGTGAGTGAGCAGATTATGTTGGAGTGAGTGTGTAGGGCCCTGTGAGTGTGCATAGAGACATGTGGTCCTCTGTAGCTCAGCTGGTAGAGCACGGCGCTTGTAACGCCAAGGTAGTGGGTTCGATCCCCGGGACCACCCATACACAAAAAAAATGTATGCACGCATGACTGTAAGTCGCTTTGAATAAAAGCGTCTGCTAAATGGCATATAATAATAATATAATAACAAAAATAAAAAGGTCAATGAGGATACAAGGTTAACTCATAGTCTGTGTAGCTATTTTGTTAGCTATTTATCAGTCTTATTGCTTTGGGATAGAAGCTGTTCAAGAGCCTGTTGGTGCCAGAGTTGATGCACCGGAACCGCTTGCTGTGCGGAAGCAGAGAGAATAGTCTATGGCTTGGGTGGTTGGTTTCTTTAACGATTTTCCGAGCCTTCCTACCACACCACCTGAAATAGATTTCCTGGATGGCAGGGAGCTCGGCCCCAGTGATGTACTGGGCTGTCCGTACCACTCTCTGTAGCGCCATGCGATCGAGGGCGGTGCTATTGCCATACCAGGCAGTGATGCAGCCAGTGAAATTGCTCTCAATGGTACAGCTGTATAACTTTTTGAGGATTTGAGGGCCCATGCCAAACTTTTTCAACCTACCGAGGGAGAGGAGGCGCTGTCGTGCTTTCTTCACGACTGTGCGTGCGTGTTTGGACCATTTTAAGTCTTTAGTGATTTGGACACCGAGGAACTTGAAGCTCCCAACCTGCTCCACTGCGTGCCCCCCCCCCCCCCCTTTCCTGTAGTCCACGATCAGCTCCTTGGTCATATTGTCGCTGTTCTGGCACCACACTGCCAGGTCACTGACCTCCTCCCTGTAGGCTGACTCGTCGCCGGTGATCAGGTCTACCACCGTCGTGTTGTCAGCAAACTTGATGATGGTGTTGGAGTCGTACGTGGCCACACAGTCATGGGTACAGGAGGGGACTAAGCACACACCCCTGTGGGGCCCCTGTGTTGCGGGTCAGCGTGGTGGAGGTAATGTTGCCTACCCTCACCACCTGGGGTCTTCCCGTCTGCTCTGAATTAAACAAACTGAACAATTTGAACAGTGATTGGCTTTGGCCTGGGTCTGAGTAATTTATTTTATACCAAGTCTGCTGTGAAAATGGCAGTGCTTGACCTCCTTTTTGTTGATTTGAATAACACTTCCAACAGGTGATTACATTAGAATATAGTACAGTATTATTAGTTTGTCCTCCTTTAGGGGGAGTGGTTTGATATGGGAAAGAAATGAATAGGGGATTGTTTTTAACTACTTGTGCAGATATGAAACAGACGATCATATCAGTCAACAATATCAAATTCCCAGTTTATGCTACAAAACCAACGTTATAAGAGGTTTTAAAAATAGGTTATATTTGACTCAACATTCCATGACGTACACTAAGGCATTATTGCCAGAATAGATGGATGCAGTTCAATGCATGATTCATATAATTCACCAATACATTTCTTGGTAGTCCAAAAAATCAGGTTGTAAATCACAGCTGGCCTGGTACATTGTTTGCTGCCTCCATTCGGGATGCACTGTTTCAGTTTCAATGACTCAATATTTTGGACAAAAACAGACGAATCTAACTAAGGCTGGGAATGTCAATACAATCAAACTAGCAAGGGCAATGATCACAAGTCCGTCATAATGTGGCTAATATGCTAGCGTATCTATTTATGTAGCAAGCTAAAAACAAAGAGCCTAACATTAGCTAGCTAACTAGCTAGCTAGCTGCTAGGAGGACATAATGTCATTGGAGAAGTTTGAGTGACTGACTTTTTTTACCCCTCGTATCTTTTTTCGGTGGCTACACAGCTAGAGATGCATGTGTCATTTGGTTAGCTAGTAAGAAATGTGAATCGCTTCGCTAGCTAGGTATGCTGAACGACTGTTATCCAGTTAACAAATTCACTCTGGCTAGCTATCTAGCACTTTTTGTCTGAGTGTGCCGAGCGCAGAATAACTGATGAATTTACGAACGAGCAAGACCCGCTGAATATGACTGGTGTCAGTAAACATAGGCAAAATAAGTAAGTTAGTCACGAACACTATAAAACATGTCAACAGCCTAACCAGCTCTGCTAGGGCGAGTAAAATGGTCAGTGAGGTGTTCTCTCATTTGTGTCTGGAAGTAGCTAGCTACTAAGCTAGCCAACTTTAGCCAGTTAGCTTGGGTGCTTGGTTGGGACAACGCATGCATTGGCAGGCAAGTTGCAGAAGGCTCGAGCAGGCTATTCCCCATCGTTTATCAGTGCAATTTTGACGGCCAACTAGCTGAAAAAGTTTGACAGGGTTTATCTAATGTTCCTTCATTAGATTTTAGCTAATCGTGCTCTGGCTAGCATTAGTTGTTGATCTTGTTGTTGATGTGCATATAGGGAAAGATGTTCTACCTTTTTTATGGTTGTTTGATCAATGGGACTGTAAAGTTCCCAAATGTAAGAGGACTCTTGTGGTATTTAGCTACATATTTGCAGAAATCCATTCAAGTGTATTTTGTGGCTTTTGCCGAATGCGTTCTAATAATCTAAAGTCGCGCTGTTGCAATTGCCTGTAAACACCCAGTCCAATTCAAAGTGAATGATGGCAGGCCCTTTTGGCAAATGGCTTGTTGTTTTTATTTGGTTTTAGTTACAGCATTGTCTATTAATTGTCCAAACGCACGGCCACTTTCCCACTCTATATTGCTATAGAAATTTCACAAATGTCTTAGTATATGTAATTCCCAAACATTCTAATAATTTATGAAAACATGAAAATGACGTCAGAAAATCTTTTTTTTAAAGTGTCATTCTTCCTGGGAGTGTATATGAACAGATTTGAATAAGATTTCATGTTGCTAAAATGCAGTCAGTTTCACTTTAAATCCCGATGCACATTCCAATACCATAAAATAATGAACGAGTTCATGCTCATTGATTCAATCATATGCTCTAGCAATGAAATGTTCAGTAGTTTGTGTTCAGGGACCCATCTCTTATTACCTGGTTCCACCTATGGCTCACTTCTTTGTCCCATGTCTCCCCAGGTGTCTGCTGCTAGAGAGGAGGTCCCTGGTCGTCGTGGTTTCCCAGGTTACATGTACACTGATCTGGCTACCATCTACGAGCGTGCCGGGAGAGTGGAGGGCAGGAACGGCTCCATCACTCAGATCCCCATCCTCACCATGCCCAACGATGGTGAGACATGCCGGCTTTTCTCAGAGAAAAACAACCTAGATATATTTAGAAAATAATTTATTTATAAATGTTTAATTCTTGTTTATTTATTTACTTATTTACTTGTCACATTAGCAATATTGTTGAATCTCCTGTTTCGTCACTGAAATGCGGTCAATATTTTTTTTTGCCAGGGAACAAATTGTTGCTTGCCATTACTATGGTAACATCTTGATGGGCGTCCAATCTGTTTTTGAATGGGAGTCCCACCTTTTTAACATCACAGAGAAATTTGTGCCAGTGTATTTTAGAGCAATATCCTCCCAAGTTGTGGATGTAGATCAAAACACTCCCAAGTTGTGGATGTAGATCAAAACACTCCCAAGTTGTGGATGTAGATCAAAACACTCCCAAGTTGTGGATGTAGATCAAAACACTCATTGTCCTTAAACTGGGAAACTTTACATTGGATCTGCATTTCAGTATCTATAAGCATTCTACTGTAAGTTGTAGACATTTTAAAGTGTATGCCTGGTTCATTTACATTTATTTTGGGAAAAGTGATTTACGACCGTGCTCAGTGCATGCTTTGAATGTACAGTATGCGTGCATATCCTTTTGATAAAGGCCACTTGATTTATCGTCACTTTAACCCTGGATATTATCTCTTGATGTTGACCTCCATGTTAACTGTGTTTTCCAGATATCACCCATCCCATTCCTGATCTCACTGGGTACATCACTGAGGGACAGGTTTATGTGGACAGACAGCTGCACAACAGACAGGTACAGACATACTCACTGATGATAGACATGTATTCACATTCTCACTAATGTCTCAAACCCACCCTTTGTACCTGACTATTGAGGACTGTCTATAGCTGTTGAGTACTGTAGTTCTATCTCTCCTGACAATTGTCCAATTGTTGCCCAATGTTCATTTGTTTACAACTTCTTGGTTGAACATTGAATTAACTTCTATTATTTCATGCTTTTCTTTCAGATCTACCCACCCATCAATGTGCTGCCGTCTCTGTCTCGATTGATGAAGTCTGCCATCGGTGAAGGAATGACCCGTAAAGACCATGCTGATGTCTCCAACCAACTGGTAATTGTCACTGCACCCACAGCCAAAGATCTTCTATAACCAAGCCTAATTTCTGTTGAACAACAATACACATTAATCGTTTGTTGCATACAGCACCTTTAACTCACTGACCTCCCTCCACGCTTCTCTCTCAATGGCTCACATCAACACCATCATCCCAGAAACCCTAGACCCACTCAAATTTGCATACCGCCCCAACAGATCCACAGATGACGCAATCTGTATTGCACTCAACACGGCCCTTTCCCACCTGGATAAGAGGAACACCTACGTGAGAATGCTGTTCATTGACTACAGCTCAGCGTTCAACACCATAGTGCCCTCAAAGCTCGTCACTAAGCTAAGGACCCTGGACTAAACAGCTCCCTCTGGATCCTGGACTTCCTGATGGACTGCCCCCAGGTGGTAAGGATAGGCAACAACACATCTGCCATGCTGATCCTCAACACGGGAGCCCCTCAGGGGTGTGTGTTTAGTCCCCTCCTGTACTCCCTGTTCACCCATGACTGCGTGGGCAAGCACGACTCCAACACCATCATTAAGTTTGCCGACGACACAACGTTGGTAGGCCTGATCACCAACAACGATGAGACAGCCTATAGAGAGGAGGTCAGAGACCTGGCAGTGTGGTGCCAGGACAACAACCTCTCCCTCAACGTGATCAAGACAAAGGAGATGATCGTGGACTACAGGAAAAGAAGGGCCGAGCACGCCCACATTCTCATCGACGGGGCTGTAGTGGAGCAGGTTGAGAGCTTCAAGTTCCTTGGTGTCCACATCCCCAACAAACTATCATGGTCCAAACACACCAAGACAGTCTTGAAGAAGGCACGACATCACCTATTACCCCCTCAGGAGACTGAAAAGATTTGGCATGGGTCCTCAGATCCTCAAAAAGTTCTACAGCTGCACCATCGAGAGCATCCTGACTGGTTGCATCACCGCCTGGTATGGCAACTGCTCGGCCTGCGACCGCAAGGCGCTACAGAGGGTAGTGCGTACGGCCCAGTACATCACTGGGGCCAAGCTTCCTGCAATACAGGACCTCTATACCAGGCGGTGTCAGAGGAAGGCCCTCAAAATTGCCAAAGACTCCAGCCACCCTAGTCATAGACTGTTCTCTCTGCTACCGCACGGCAAGTGGTACCGGAGCGCCAATTCTAGGTCCAAAAGGCTTCATAACAGGTTCTACCCCCAAGCCATAAGACTGCTAATCAAATGGCTACCCCCCCCTCCCCCTCTTTTTTTTACACTGCTGCTACTCGGTGTTTATTATCTATGCATAGTCACTTTACCCCTACCTCCATGTACATATTACCTAAATTACCTCCACTAACCTGTACCCCCGCACATTGACTCGGTACCGGTACCCCCTGTATATAGCCTCTTTATTGTTTTATTTTTTACTTTATTTTATTTAGTAATTATTTTTCTTAACTGCATTGTTGGTTTAGGGCTTGTAAGTAAGCATTTCATGGTAAGGTCTACACCTGTTGTATTCGGCGCATGTGACAAATAGAATTTGATTGGATTTGAATCCCCATGTCTTTATCTACCTCTTTTCCCATGCCTCTATCCCTCTCAGTATGCCTGCTATGCCATTGGTAAGGACGTGCAGGCCATGAAGGCCGTGGTGGGAGAGGAGGCCCTCACTTCCGATGATCTGCTCTACCTGGAGTTCCTGCAGAAGTTTGAGAAGAACTTCATCGCTCAGGGTAAGATGCTGAAAAACAGATGAGACCTATGACAGTAGCACCACAACCAGAGAGCGTGCGTAGTGAAATTCTAGTCATATGGCATGATCAAATCAAAAGGTGAAAACGGTGGCATGGCAACCGCACTGTATGTCGCATTCTCCCAGGGTCCAGTATTTTGTACCAGAATGAATGGGTGTTTTGGCAGGCTTTTCACACCGTTAAGTGGGAGGCTTGGCCAGGTCATTGACACTCCTGCACGGAGATATTTTCTGGTGATTTTATTTGCTTGTCTAAATATTGTTGCGTTAAATATTAGATATTATACCTTTGCCACCTTGGCTTCTCCTTTATCTTATGGTTGTGCTACCTTTTATTCCGCAAATTCCTTTAAATCATTGACTGATTATGTGTTGCCCGAGGTATTTGACCTTATTACCAGAAATTCTGCCTGCATAGCGGTATCATTCAAGTGTGATATTAAAATGGAGATTGATATTGCCCAATGATATTGAAATGAATTAATGGATTAATAATATTTTGTTTGCATTGTTGAATCACATTTTAGCTAGGTTTGTTAGATGTTTCTTAATAAACCATTTTGTTTTTCTTGTCATTAATTGCAGATATTATCGTATAATGCTACATCGCTGGATTTTTTATCTGCCAGTTCTTAGCTCTAACCAAGAACTATGAATAAATGCTGCATGTTATGCTTCTTTCCTTCAGGTCTTTGTTAGTAAAAGTTGTTAATTTTCAATGCCTTCAGGCATGATTATTTTTTTATCAGCAGAGGGAAACAAAAACCAATGGATAGATTTTCCAACAACTTGGTGACATTCAGCGATAATGTGTGCATGTCGTCAAAGCATTATGCCAAACCTATTCTCACACTTGTCCTTGGATTGATGAGATTGCTAAAGGAAGGATTTGTGAGTTTTTCTATCCAGCCTAGTTTATAGTGAGCCTGAATTCCTTTTTCAACATGAGTCAAAGCCTAATGCGATCCATTAAAATGAGAATCTCATTAGAATTGATGAGTCTACTGATGTGAATTGAAACCTCATATAGAAAACCTCACTCCATAGAAATAATATGAAATTATCATGTCAGACTTTTGCATCTTCTCTCTCAGCTGAAATAGACAAATGGGGCCGGCTTTTGGGCAAAGAACAAGTGCCTGCCGTTCAGTCTTCTTGTCCTTCAGATAATGAGATTACAAAGCAGGGATTGCACTATTGTAGGCTATGCTTCACAGGGACCTAATGCTTGTAACCCGATTGTGACTTAATATCAAGCCTATCAATTATTTCTTTCCAATAGAGTACGCTGTGATGTAGTGTTGGGTGCATTTCAGACATGTTCGCTCCATGACCTGAGTTGAACATGACGCCCACAACAAGTGTCATGAAAAATATCAGTGAATCACTGGGGAATATTGTTTTATTCATACTCTTATTAAAACCTCTGAATAAAATAATAAATTGGCAACTAGTCGTCATACGGAATATTGTCAAATGTCATAGCATTCAATACCTAAAACACTGTCACCTCACCCCTCAGGCCCCTATGACAACAGGACTGTGTATGAGACCCTGGACATTGGCTGGCAGCTGCTCCGAATCTTCCCCAAAGAAATGCTGAAGCGGATTCCCCAGAGCACCCTGGCTGAGTTCTACCCCAGGGAGTCTGCAGCTCGTCACTGAGAGCCCCTCAACTCAGAGAACAGAGCAATAATCTCAGCTCCCTCTGTATATGTATTGTACTGTATCTGTGTCCAGAATCTAGTATGGGTAGTGTCTGTGATTATATCTCTACATTTTATTTAGAGTTTTAAACTTACCCTTAAATCAAAGAATTATCCTGTTATTTATTGGGGTATGTTACTGTTGGATTTTGTTCATTGAATGTTGTCCCCACCTAAAGTAAATGAAACTTTCCAAAAAGGTAAAACATCCTATACATTTAGATTGTGTGTTCTCTTTCACATTTCAATGGTTTAAATTTGTCCAATATGTTTGTTACTGTCACCCTGAAGATAGCACTTCAATCACTTATTTCAGATGGGGGGGCAATTACTTGTGAACCATATGTCAAATTGTAGGACTTCATCAAACACCCAGGAGGTCTGAAAGTGTCATGACATACTTTAATTTATTACACTGAACATCATTGATACTTAAATGTTTACTTTTATAGGCTTGGGGTGAGGGTTTCGATATTGGACAAACTTTTGGGCAACTTGAAATTGATTTATATTGTAGATGTCAAACTTTGTAGACTAATTGCTTTTTTCTTGGCCTCTTGCTTGATGTAATTACTATTGAAAGAAAAGGATGTTTACATTATTTGTTATTGCTATATGTATGTGCTGTAAAAAGAATAGTAAACATTCCCCTGTTTCATTGTTCATTCTCTTGTTTGTTTGCAGGAATCGAATACGTGTGTTATGATTCTTCTGTTTTCTGTCCATAAATAAATTATATTAGAACTATGAAGGATATGACATGTTTGTAATCCCACCTGAGGCATGGGGCTTTAGAAATGTGACCACTGTCAAATTCATAGATAGAGCTATGGATGCAAGGACTGACCATCCATGATAACAAAATTACACTCTAAACCATGTTTTGAGGCTATACAGTGTTTGTTTACAAATAAACGATTAGAACAAGCTTACATTTTGGGTTCTGATGGGTTAAGACCATTGAACTAAGCTCATGAGGCATTTTTAAGTCATACTTTTCAAGAATCCATGGGTATTTATGAATAAAAAAATCCCAAAAAGGATGGAGCAATCGCAGATTGCCCCTTTTAAGGTTGATGGGTCTCACACTTGCAGTAGGGCTTAGTAGTGACTCAGCAAAAAAGCCAAATCGAAATCCAAACTCAAATAATATTTTTTTATATTAATTGTCTGAGTCATAGATCGTATATAGGCCCAAGTTAACAAAAACATGCACTCGTAGCCTAGATCAGACCTGAGATCGTAAAATATGGCCAAAGGTGAGTCTTGTGCAAATCATATGATACTTCTCAGGACTCACTGAACTAACTTGATTATCCACTGCCAGTCTGGTCACATACAGTGGGGAGAACAAGTATTTGATACACTGCCGATTTTGCAGGTTTTCCTACTTACAAAGCATGTAGAGGTCTGTAATTTTTATCATATGTACACTTCAACTGTGAGAGACGGAATCTAAAACAAAAATCCAGAAAATCACATTATGATTTTTAAGTAATTAATTTGCATTTTATTGCATGACATAAGTATTTGATCACCTACCAACCAGTAAGAATTCCGGCTCTCACAGACCTGTTCGTTTTTCTTTAAGAAGCCCTCCTGTTCTCCACTTATTACCTGTATTAACTGCACCTGTTTGAACTCGTTACCCATATAAAAGACACCTGTCCACACACTCAATCAAACAGACTCCAACCTTTCCACAATGGCCAAGACAAGAGAGCTGTGTAAGGACATCAGGGATAAAATTGTAGACCTGCACAAGGCTGGGAAGGGCTACAGGACAATGGGCAAGCAGCTTGGTGAGAAGGCAACAACTGTTGGCGCAATTATTAGAAAATGGAAGAAGTTCAAGATGACGGTCAATCACCCTCAGTCTGGGGCTCCATGCAAGATCTCACCTCGTGGGGCATCAATGATCATGAGGAAGGTGAAGGATCAGCCCAGAACTACACGGCAGGACCTGGTCAATGACCTGAAGAGAGCTGGGACCACAGTCTCAAAGAAAACCATTAGTAACACACTACGCCGTCATGGATTAAAATCCTGCAGCGCACGCAAGGTCCCCCTGCTCAAGCCAGCGCATGTCCAGGCCCGTCTGAAGTTTGCCAATGACCATCTGGATGATCCAGAGGATGAATGGGAGAAGGTCATGTGGACTGATGAGACAAAAATAGAGCTTTTTGGTCTAAACTCCACTCGCCGTGTTTGGAGGAAGAAGAAGGATGAGTACAACCCCAAGAACACCATCCCAACCGTGAAGCATGGAGGTGGAAACATCATTCTTTGGGGATGCTTTTCTGCAAAGGGGACAGGACGACTGCACCGTATTGAGTGGAGGATGGATGGGGCCATGTATCGCGAGATCTTGGCCAACAACCTCCTTCCCTCAGTAAGAGCATTGAAGATGGGTCGTGGCTGGGTCTTCCAGTATGACAACGACCCGAAACACACAGCCAGGGCAACTAAGGAGTGGCTCCGTAAGAAGCATCTCAAGGTCCTGGAGTGGCCTAGCCAGTCTCCAGACCTGAACCCAATAGAAAATCTTTGGAGGGAGCTGAAAGTCCGTATTGCCCAGCGACAGCCCCGAAACCTGAAGGATCTGGAGAAGGTCTGTATGGAGGAGTGGGCCAAAATCCCTGCTGCAGTGTGTGCAAACCTGGTCAAGACCTACAGGAAAAGTATGATCTCTGTAATTGCAAACAAAGGTTTCTGTACCAAATATTAAGTTCTGCTTTTCTGATGTATCAAATACTTATGTCATGCAATACAATGCAAATGAATCACTTAAAAATCATACAATGTGATTTTCTGGATTTTTGTTTTAGATTCCGTCTCTCACAGTTGAAGTGTACATATGATAAAAATTACAGACCTCTACATGCTTTGTAAGTAGGAAAACCTGCAAAATCGGCAGTGTATCAAATACTTGTTCTCCCCACTGTATCTCTTACTTTTAAGAGAGAAAATCGAACATTAATTGTATTATCAAATCAGATTAAACTACTGTCCTGATGAAATCTCATACACTACACTCTTAGAAGAAAAGAGTTCCAAAAGGGTTCTTCGGCTGTCTCCATAGGATAACCCTTTTGGGTTCCATGTAGAACCCTCTATAGAAAGGGTTCTACCTGGAACCAAAAGGGTTATATTTCTACCTGCAGCCAAAAAGGGTTCTTCAAAGGTTTATCCTATGGGAACATCTGAAGAACCCTTTAAGGTTCTAGAAAGCACCTTTTTTTTTCTTCTAAGAGCTTATGCATTGTGCCTCAGGGCCATCAATATAGTCTGACTTTTGGATGATTTTGCTTTTATTATTTCACTTTAAAGCTATGTGGTGGTGGTGGTTTATATAGCACTTGTTAAGGTTCACATAAGCTTCATTCATATTGGGAAGCTTTATTACATAGCCCATCATCCTCATGACCTCAGATTTTCAGAGGGAGAAAAGCTAACTCCGATCGAGTTTAAGTGGAGTCTGATCTTGCATTGACTGGCTCAGTGAAGGTAGGACACTAATGAAAAAGAGATATTTGGACTCGCTATGAACTGTGTATGTTTGACATTTACCTTGGGTAAAAGGCACACCCTTTACTTTCGGTGGTAGCACAGCTTGATTTACTCTTGCTGCGCTCCTGTCAATGCACAATGTATTAAACTTTAGTTTAATAGAGAAACAGTGTTCAGAATGCAAAATTACACCTAAAGCATCGTCTCTGCCACTTCTCCACTTTTACTTTTTCCTTACACATACAAATGTGCTTGAACTACAATGTATTTCTGTGTTATTTCGCAGGGACAGTTTTTCTTAAAACCAAAATGTATCACACAAGCCACTCAAGCCAGTGATTTTGATCTCTGGAATTTTTGAAAAATTTCAGATGTTTGAAATGGTTGTTCTTTGTAATCACTGCAGTCGAGGGATTTTTATCTGAATAAATGTGGCCTTTGCTCATAATTTACATCCAGTGTTTCTCCAGTCAAAAAACACATATTGTGTTTGACTTCCACTTTAATAGAGGCTGCTTTGCTATGCCAAGCAGCTGCATATTAGGACCTATTACGTGATTTCATAGCTCTTAGAAAATTGCTCCTATTCACAACGAAACAACTGGGCTACAGAGAGAGAGAGAAAAAGCCCCCAACACACAATCATGTCTTTTCAATTGACGATGGCAAGGTTGATGACAAAATGACCATTGTGTTGTAATGATAACACCACAAAGGCATCTGCCCCCTCATCAAGGCTTCCGTACGGCTGCAGATACAATTTCATTCACTGCTCTGTCTGCGCTGATACCATTATGCAGCACGTCGGCACTGGGGTAATAGGAAGGAAAAGAGGGGAGAAAAAGATGGAGCGATGATGGTGAGGCCGAAACTTACAATTAACACTGTCAATTCTGACGTGTCGGAACCCCTGTCGCCCCGCACTTGTACACTTTCCACTTCCAGGCCTGTTTATTTACCATGCCTACCAGTAATTACAATTAACGTGTCATTTAGTTCAAGACCTCCTTTGCTGGTGTTGAGTGAGTTGGGCACTGTGGAATCTGTGAAAGAGAAGAGCAAGAGAAGGCTGGGATGAAACTGGCAGCTAAGTGCTATTGAATGACTGACGTGGAGAGGGTGCCGGAGGAACTTTTATATCGCAGGCAGAGACGTTCATCAAGTTTTAATTAGGTGTCATTGGGAAGGGAACGGCCTGTGTTAACGGCATTAATTCCTATTTTTCCCCTTCGACCACAATGTTCAATTAGTTAAGTGGCAGTAAGACTGTTCTCTTTCACTGAGGTTTGTGATTATGCCTGCACATTATGTCAATGTTTAGAGTATTAAGCATCTCTCTGAATGTTTCTGTTTTTTAACAACTCCAAACTGGCTAAAGTAAGATTTTATATTTCAAAGTTACAAAGTCTAACATCAGGGGCTAGAAAATGTTTTCATAGTTCCACTGATGTGGTTTTTTTTTTTTTTTTCCGGAAAGCAGAATAGATAAGACCTCAGTCGCATTGGTAATATTAGTTCACCTTTTAAATTGAAAAGAGAACATATGTGGTTCATGGCAAAGCTTTGACATAACAGAAAATGCAAACATACATACTTATATTGTCAAGTGTGTCAAGTACATTTCTTAGTAAAGTATCAGATTTCACAGTAAGTGAGTCTACAGAAATGCTCATGTTTATGTCCTAGTCGTCTCATCCTTCAGCGTTACCTCTGACCTTGAGATGTAAAGCTAATTGTGAAAGCAACTGAACATGACCAACCAAAGACATGTAAAAAATATATATATAATAATCTGTATGATATTCAAGATTGAAACATAAAGAAACATAAAGAGATGAGCTCCAATAAGGTCAACCTTAGGATCAGACCACATGGCAACATTTGTGTTGCCTACAGTATGTTAACAACAAAGCTAGTTTAGGCCTACCTCTGTAGTGTAACTCTGCTTTTAATCAAAATAAAAAATAGATATAAACTCAGCAAAAAAAAAAACGTCCTCTCACTGTCAACTGCGTTTATTTTCAGCAAACCTAATGTGTAAATATTTGTATGAACATAACAAGATTCAACAACTGAGACATAAACTGAACAAGTTCCACAGACATGTGACTAACATAAATTGTATTATGTGTCCCTGAACAAAGTGGGGGTCAACATCAAAAGTAACAGTCAGTATCTGGTGTGGCCACCAGATTTGCCAGATCTTGCTGTGAGATGTTACCCCACTCTTCCACCAAGGCACCTGCAAGTTCCCGGACATTTAATAATAA